AAGAAATACATGCAGGCCAGGTGGGAGATAGGTAGAGGACCAGCTCCGTTTATTAATCTGAGGGCTAGGGTTTTTATACCTCATTCGTGGGAACAGAACCCAGAGTAGCAAAGGCAAAAGTATCAACAATTATTTTTCTCATGGGAACAGTAACCAGTGGGAGTCCCCCCTGAACAGTTTCCTTGCCTCCTGTAATCTTCAAGGTCCTTCTATTCTCAAGAGAGACAGAACAAGGAGGGGTTGGACAGCCCACATATCTGACTTAGGCAGCCATCGGCTAAAGGACAGGCTGCAGGTAAAACCCGGCATGGCTTGAATCCTCTGACTCATCAGTGCTGGCCCTTGACAGGAAGGGGCTAAGGTGGGGGGGGGGTGATAGAAGGGAGGGCAGATTGGGGGAAGGGGTAATCAGAAGAAAACACTTTTGAGGAGGGACAGAGTCAAGAGAGAGAATAGAATAAATGGGGGGCAGGATAGGATGGAGGGAAATATAGTCTTTCACAGCATGACTATTATGGAAGCGTTTTGCATGACTACACATGTATCACCTATATTGAATTTCTTGCGTTCTCAATGACACTTGGTGGGGAGGGAAGAAGGTGAGAATTTGGAACTCAAAGTTTTAAAAATGAATGTTAAAAATTGTTTTTACATGCAACTGGGAAATAAGACAGACAGGCAATGGGGTATAGAAATCTATCCTTCCCTACAGGAAAACAGAAGGGGAAGGGGATAAGAGAAGGGGGGAGGGGTGATAGAATGGAAGGTAGATTGGGGAAAGGGGTTTTTATCCAGAAGGCATGCTGTCTTGGGGTGGGGGGAAAGGGAGAGATGTGGAGAAAATCTAGAACTCAAAATCTTGTGGAAGTGAATACTGAAAACTAAAAATTAATTCATTAAAAAACTGATGACTTTGGGCAAGAAGGATATAGAAAGTTTTAGGACATTAGCAGAATTCCTAAGATGCCAGGGAATGATGATTATTTTAATCTCCTTGCAGGAGGCTTTTACCTTCCTACATAGAGTTACCACCTTGGGGGTAAACTTTGACCCTTGTTGTTGTTTGTTGCTGTTGTTGTTGTTGTGGGAGGGGGGTTGTTTGTGGGAAACAGAGAAAGATGTTTTTAATAAAGGAACTGTTTACTTGAACCCCTAGGCCCTGAGTGATCCACTGTACCAGATGTGGAACTCTGAGGATAGACACTCACCCTGCTTCTTCACAGAGGTGAGGGGAGGAGCCAAATGGACATGAATACATTGCAAAATGAAGGGGATATAAAAACAAAATATACAACTAAAATTTTATTTTTAAAAAATGTCCAATAAGCAGGGGCAAGAATCTCGGAGCTAAGGAGAGAGACCAGGGCTACATATGTAGAAAGATCTGCATAAGACATGCAAATTAAATCTCTGGGAATTCTCTTACCCAGTGAGAGCATATGGAAAGAAGGAAAGAGACAACAGGACAGAGAGTGATATCCACAGTCATGGGGCATGATACTGATGTTAGAAGCTCCTTGAAAGTAAGGATTATTTCATTCTTTGCATTTATTTCTCTGCCACATAGCACAGTGCCTGGCACATAGTGGGTGCTTAATAAATGCTTGACTGAACCAATGTAGGAAGTGAGAAAGAGAGATCAAAGAGACTGGGAAAAAACCACGACAGAGCAGTTTCTGGAAGTCCAGAGAGGAGAGTGTCCAGAAGGAAATGGTGATCAATATCAAATACTGCACAGAAGTGAAGAAGGGTGAAGACTGAGAACAGGCCACCCACCATTTTTGGCAATTTAATAACTGAAGAGAACTGTTTCTACTGGGTAGTAAGGCTGGAAGCCAGAGTGTAAAAGATTGAGAAGTGAGAAGAGAAGAACTGAAAGCAGTTAGGATAGACAGTGTTCTAGGATCATAGATCTATAAGGGACCTCAAAGGCCATCTACTTCAATCTCCTCATTTTACAGTCTAGGAAACTGAAATCCAGAGGGAATAAATAAGTAGCATGATGTCATGCAAGCAGTAGCATCAAAGGATTTGAACCCAGGTTCTCTGACTATAAAGTTATTAACTTTTCTACTGTAGCAGAAGTTTAGCTGAGAAAAGGAGGGAAGCATAATACTATACCTTGAGAAGATAGCAGGGTCTAGTAAGAACTTTTAAGGATGGAAGTGACTTGAGTGCATCTGGATATAATAAATAAGGAACAAGTAGATAGGAAGAGATTGATGACTGGAGAGAGAAGGGATGACTGAAAAGGCAATCTGCTGGAAAAAATAGGAGGTAATGGTCTAAAGAAGAGTATACAACCTTGGCAAAGAGAAGAGCTGTATCATCATCAAGAACAACAATGAAGAAGTAAACAACTAGGTAAGATATTAAGGGACTGTGAGATACAGAAAAGGGGAGACAAGAGAGCATACAATGAATAGTCTTTACTTTCTCATAATAAAGAGGTCTTCAGCTGGAAGGTTTGGGACACAGGCACCTTAAGAGAACCTTGAAACAGTTGTTGTGGGAAACAGAATACAGAATCAATTCAGGAGGACTAAAAAGAACCACTCTGTTACAGTGAGGGCCCAATTGAGATTGGATAATATGAACTTGTAGTGGACTCAGTGCGATTGCGTGACTTACCCTAGATCCACTCACTAGGACATGCCCAGTTTGGTATTTCTCACTTAAATTTCTTGCTCTCATTGAAGAACCATTTTTTCTCATGATGGCTGAATATACCCAGTTTTAGAATGGATGGGTGATTCTGGTGTGTAGTTCAGTTTCCATAACTTTTTAGTATATCATTTTTCCATCTCTCATTTCATTTTCATTGTGCAATCTGAATTGGTGCTTAATTCTATGATCTTGCCAGAATTCCTCTATTTTTATTATTATAAGCTACATGTATGACAATGAAGATTCAAAGCCTCCAGTGGACAATACAGCACATAAAAGGTACAATTTTGAATATGGAGCAGGCAAGGAATGGGACATAACGTAACTTTTAAATTTTCCTTATGATACATAAATACCTTGTCCTAGACTCTGGTATGATGAAACCTTAATTAAAAATTTAACAGACAGAAAAAGACATTGAATTGACTACTTGGAGGATTATATACTTGATTGTATACTTACAATTCAGTAATAACATTTGTAGGTAAGTCCTTCAGATTTTTTTCTACAGATTTGTATCCCACCTCCTTTTTACAAAACTTTCTTGTATCATTTCTTGGAGTAAGAGATTCAGACTCTAATTCTTTCATATTTTCCACAGACATCAGTAATTCTCAAATCTCTGCATTTTTTTTCTTTCTGCCTAAATCTCTGTTCCATAGACAGCCCAATATTTTATGGAACTTTTTTACCATCTTTATATGTGGTTAATTCTCATATTCCTCATCATGAATTCATTATTTCCAATACTTCAGATAACAGATTTTCTTTTGTAATTTGTATCATGATTCAAAACCTTTCTTAGAGTTCTTATGGCATGCCCAGGCTTTCTTCTGGAGGTAAAGCTGTTGTAATCATCCTTTTCTTTCTTTCTAGTGATTTCTTCTAGACATTCCCTGGCTCCAAGTATAGTCACTGTAGTTGAGCCTTTTTTCTTCTTTACTTCCTTCTCTTGTCTTACAGGTTTCCTGAAAGGTTTTTTTGATCCTCCTCTTTTTCAGAATTCTGTTATTTGGCACATTTATTATTGTTGTGAGGTAGTACAGAGGACCTTGGTTTAATCATAACCTCCTCGCCAGAACTGCTCTATTTTTATTACAATGGGCTACATGTGTTACAGGAAAGATTCAAAGCCTCTGGTAGACAAGAGAAGCAATTTTCCAAAGTGATGGGGAATAATTTAATTTTCAGAGCTTCTGTTAGGTACACAAATATCTAATCCTAGGCTCTGACAAAGTAAAACATTAATAAAAATTCAACAGTAAGAAAAGTGACTAAATTAACGTATCCCAATGACCTGCACTTATTTGTCTGTTTGTTTATTTGTTTGGCAAAGCAATCCAAGTGAAGTGACTTGCCCAGGGTCACACAGCTGGAAGCATCAAGTGTCTGAGGCCGAATCTGAACTCAGGTCCTTCTGACTCCAGGACCAATGCTCTATCCACTGTGCCACCTAGCTGGCTCATGACCTGTTATTTTTATTAAATAACAAGGTGAGATTTTATTGATATGCTGACTAATTTTGTTTAATCACTTATTTCCCTCTTTGTTATTCATTTTTATAAAGCAGTAGTGTGAAACCTGGCCACTAAAACAGACAGAAGGATCTCTGCTTTGGGCAGCGCTCAGGAGTATTGTGGGACTCAACTTGTGAAGCTCACCAGTCATGTGTTTAACACTTCTGTCATAAAGGATGATTCTCTTGGGGCTGCAGAGGAAAAGAGAATGACAGGGAGGGGAAAGGGAGATAAAGGAAGGCTATACTAAAAAACCCGGGTGCTATGAATATAAAGGAAATAAAAATCAGTAAAACAACAGGGAATGGAATTACCTGGAAAATAATTTTTTGAAATGATGTAATTTTTTTGAATAGGTAGCTACTAGCATAAAAAGGTTCGGAGTTGTTGTTTTTTTTTGCTCTTGCTCTGTTTTGTTTTACCAATCCTGTGACTGCATCAATACACAGAGCTCCCAGTGAGGAATTTCACCTACCAATACAGAGCAACACCTTCTCTATAATTTACAGTCTTACACAGTTGGCTTGGGCACTGAGACGTTAGGCACTTGCCTGGGGTCACAAAGTCAGAATATATCAAAGACGGGACTTGAACCCATGTAAGTCTTCTGGATTCCAGGTCAGCTGTCCATATACTGTCATTGATAATAAAGTTATATTCTGGAGATGAAAGACCAAAGCAAAGAGAACACAGCCAAAAGGTGCCAGGATAACATAGGTAAGGAATAAAAGGAGTTAATCATCCCAAAGCAATTACTTACTCTAATTCTCTCTCTCTCTCTCTCTCCCTCCCTCCCTCTCCTACATACACACATACCTCAGAGGATGTATGAGGACAAAGCTCCATTTCAGTGTCTTCCTCTTCCTCTGGTGGTGGTTTTGCTGGAGGGGGTGGACGTTCTCTCTATATGATTAAAAAAAAAAGCTGGCTGAGAATCTCACGCTCAAAAGGCTGAGAACCTCTCATGCCTGCTAGTCCTTATGGGTGTCACCTGGCCTAAGTGTTTTAACACTAATAAACTTTAAAAAAAAAAAAAGCCTAAGTGTTTTAGCATGTCTCTCCTTAAACATGTGGCATTTTTGGTCTACCCCTAGTTCAGTCATTCATAATTAAAACATGCCTTGAAGAGGCCAAATATGGGGTCAAAATTATTCCCTTAATAGAGATTTCTTCCTTTCAGTGCCATGTAGCTCTTGCCTTCATTTCTTAAGACAAAGGGATGAGAAATTCTATCATACATTGAGCAGCTATGAAGATAAATGATTTGCTAAATAACTAGTCACTATGCTAAGTGATGAAGATAGAAAGGTTAAAACAGTTTCCAGCCCTAAAAGAGCTCAAATCCTATGAAGGAAACAACAGATAATTACGTACACAGAAGATACATGCTGTGTAAACAGAAAATCTGTAATATCTGAGAGAAGGTACCAGTAGTTTCAGGGATGGGGACCAGGAAGGGAGTGCACTTCAGGCGTGCGTGTGTGCGTGTGTGTGTGGTGTGTGTGTGTGTGTACACGTATGTACTGCAGTGGGGGGAAGGGAGTGAGGGTGGGAGAGAGACAGGGTTGTATGTATTGGGGGGTGGGGGTGGGGGGTGAGCCCTGCAAGTGCGTAGTGTGTGTAGAGAAATAGGACCAGGAAAGGCTTCCTGTAGAAGGTAAGATTTATCTGAGTCCTGAAGGAAGCCATGAAAGCTAAAATTCAGAAGTGAGGAAAGAAATCAGAGGGGACAGCAAGTGCAAACGCACAAGATTATGCGAGGAACAGCAAGTCTGGCAGCATAGCTGAATGGTAGAGTTTGTGGACAGGAATAGGAAAGGGGAAAGTAAGAAAGAGTCAGGTTCCAAATGGCTTTAGGTGCTAAACAGAGGACTTTACATTCCATCTCACAGGTAATAGGGAGCCAGTTTATTGAGTAGAGGGGTGATATGGTCAGACCTAGCTTTAACTTTAGGAAGATAATTTTGGTAGTTGAGTCGAAGATAAAAGAGGGAGAAATTTGAGGCATGTAGACCAATTAGAAGACATAGAAAATGTCTAGTTGGGAAATGACGAAGGCTTGTACTATGGAGTGACAGTGAGTTGAGAGGATACAATGGGATGTTGTGAAGGTAGAAATGACCAAGATTTGTCAATAGATTACATATGTGGGGTGAGTCTGAGAGTAAGGGGTTGAGGACACTAAGACTATGAGATTGGGAAGATGGTGGTACTCTCAATGGTAATAGGAAAATCGGGATTAGAAAAGTTTCTTATTGCTGAGTAAAAGCTAAATGAAAAAGCATTTCATGGCTACTTACTATGTACCAAGCACTGTGATAAGTGCTAGAGATACAACTAGAAAAGTGAGACAATCCCTGATTGCAAGAATCTCCCATTCTAATTGGGGAAGACAACACATATAGACACATAAAAGAGACAAATGGCAAGGCCCAAGGGTCCTTTAGGTGAAGTAGCAGGTTAATTGGTAAATCCAGTGTGCCACAGTAGCTAGCACAGGGGAGATGTGATGGTCTGTGTGATGCTCCATATTACCAGAAAGATTGTAGTTGGTATCTCCCTCTTCCTTCAAGCTGTGTGAACAACCACATCTGCCTCAAGAGCTGGTAGGGCAGAGGGGTTGGAGGGATCTGGCTCACTATTCTTGAGAAAGGGGGAGTGGGCTCAAAGGTTAGGGTGGACTAGAGGCCCTGCGTTCCCTCTATGGATGTAGGGAGGAAGGAAAAGGTAAAAGAACATTATCAGGAAGATTGAGCAGAAGAACTTCCTGCTGAACTTGCTCTGACTGGGCTCTCATACTGCTACAACAGTACAGAGTAAATAAATTATCACAGAAATTGCAAGAATACAAAATTTAAAAATCTAAACACTGTTGTCCTCTTTAGCTGCCAGGCTAAGTCGGAATTTTCTGAAACCATGAAATCTCTACCTACTTTAATATATCCAAGAAATCAATGTCCATGAATTGACTCTTAGGAAAGCACTCAATGATCAAAACCCTAGTTTTTACTCAAACTTCAATGTTCTCCATAAAAAAAAAATTAGCAAAAGCTAAAAAAATACCCTCTCATCTTCAATCATTTTATTCCATACAGATAATTCTTATTCATTAGCACATTAAAACCTCATTTCATTTAAGCCTATTTTTTAAAAAGGAATAAGCCCCATTTTTTTCTGCTTGAGGAAAGCAGGAGGCTAAAAGAAGAAATGCTTTACAGGTAATACAATGGACTCATGGGTATGAATGTGTGAAGCTCCTAAATCCATGCAATTCTAGAGATACATGGTATTGTCCTTGATAAAGGACCCACATGCTAAAAAATCTGAAAAACAGATTTGCAACCAAAGCAGAAGCCACTTCAGCACCTTTTACATTCCAAGGAATTATTCATGTTTGATTAGCTATTGTTCTGATTGGAAAATTCCATTACAAAGCAGATTCTTGTAGGGCGATTAAAAAAGCAGGGGAAGTTAAATACACCCTCATCCTCTAGTCTACAGGGGTAGACCTACACAGAAAAGGTCAATGGGAATGTTTCCCCCAACTTGTACAGCGCTGTCACAACTGGTCTGTGCTCTATGTATGTCTATATCTATAGGTTAATTCACTGTATTTCAAAAAGAGGAGTAAATACTTCAGGAAGAAAGGGAAGAGAAAAACATTGAGTTATGAGAGCCCTCCATAGAAATCAGCCACTCAGCTGCTTCTACATGAAGAGGTAATCCTAATCCTCCCCTGCTACTAATGATTTCCGAGGTGGGCATGTGTGTGCATGTGTTTGTGTGTATTCTATATTTATTTTGCACATACTTATGTAGGTACATAGGATCAGAGGGATCACAGACCTAAAGCCCGAAAGGATCTTACACTCTAATCCCCACATCTTACAGATTAGGAAACTGGAGCCCAGGAAGGTCAAGTGATTTGTCCAAGGTCACAAAGAAGTCAACAACAGACGCTGAATTTGAACCCAAGTCCTACAACTTCAGAGCCAGCACTCATTCCCCTGTACTAGACTATCTGACAGAATATAAACTCCTTAAAAGTTATTTGATATCTGGCTATGTATCACCATTACCTAGAACAGTGCCAATTATACAGCAAGTGTTTAATCAATGTGTGTTAAGATTTGGGGAGTGTAAAAAGTAGGTATGTAGCCACTCTCCTCATGTTTCTGGAAGAAAAAATCAGAGCCTATCAGAAACCTGTCTAAGCTTCTTGCCTTCTCAATGAGTTGGGGAAGGGTGGAGGAAGGAAAAGAATTTGGGATGGAAAAAAATTTTAATGAAAAAAAAAATCTAAGAGTTAAAAGATCTGAGACCTTTGTAATCAAGAAGTAGCTACAGTGACATTGTGAAATGAGACCTGAATCACTAAAGAAATCACTCTCTTCTACTATACATCACTCAAGATAAAATCATTAGAAAAGTAAATGTGGCTTGAATACTGTGCCTGAGCAACACATTTCAATAATATGGAAACAGAAGGGTGGCACTGACAGTCACAAAGAACAAAGTATTTATAAATTACTATGTAAGAGAAAAAAACCCAACACCTAAGGTGCAACAAATACCTAGCAAACAACCAAAAGTCCTCGTTGCTGTTTGTCCTTCATTCTCAAAGAGGACCGTCACATCAGGGAGGTGATGCCATGACTTGCAAGTGAATTGGATTTAAGTGAGGGAGGGCTGTGCAAAGTCACCAGCCTCACTCTCTTCTCTGGAGCCATCTGGGTCCAGAGGCCAGATATAGAGCAGTACTACTGGAGATGGCCCCAGATGCAGTGGGAGATTTTGGCCTTTTTAATTATGTAAGAGAGAGGAAAAAAAAAAGCAAACCAACACCTACAGTGTAACATTAACTAGCAAATGACCAAAAGTCCTTAAGTTGATATTAAATTACTTGTTCCTTAACAATTAATCTAACAAGTAAAGTCTCTTGGTTTTTCACAGATCCGGTTTCCTTACCATTCTCTTCAATGGTTCCAGCTCCCCCTACTGGCCTCGTGTGCAAATGCCAAAAAAAAGAATTCGTAGCTTAATATGGCTAACATATTCAGGCAGGACATTTGGAAGAGAGTAAAACACTTAGCACTGTACGTATAGAGAAATTAAACAGGTGCCCTGTTGACCAATATCTCATCCCTAATCCAAACTCTTCAAATACCAGTCAGCTCCAAAGAGAAGTCTGGGCCTAGGCAGGGTCAGTAGTTCTTGAGATAAAACTACAGACTTGGGGGCCACGATGAAGTCAGGATCATTCTAGAGGCAAACTTTAGGTTTGGGCTTGCACCAGGAGGGCAAAGAAGGGAGAATCCATTTCATTATGGCAAACCTCTTTCTCTCACAGAACCACCAAAGACCTAGTACTCTGGAATATACTCAAAGAAGTAGGGTCTCTAGGGCTGTCAGATATCCTAGGAGCTGTAACAGATTCCTTGGCCTTTTTCAAGCCAGCCTCAATAACAAGAAAAAAATTAGCAAAAGAGCAAAATGTACTTTACTCAAGGTAGGATCATCAATGTGATCTTGGAAGCACAAAGCCAGTCTGTCTGGAATACAAACTCAAAACACCAAACCACAGTATATGACCAAGTAGGGGAAATGATTGTAGGAAAAAGTCCCCAAAGTGGCAAACCACTCTAGGGGAAACTGCTGTGGCTGCTATTTGTCTTTCATTCTCAAAATGGACCTTGACATCAGGGAGGTGATGCCATGACATGCAAGTGAACTGTTAAGTGAGAGGGCTCCTCTGATTCCTCTGGAATAATTTGGGTCCAGTGACCAGATATGGATCAGGACAACTGGAGATGGCTCAGGATGTAGTGGGGGACCTTGGCCTTTTCAAACTAAGGTTTTTAACAGGTCTCAGTTTGACTGAGGCAACATCCATTCAGTGATTAAGGCTTAATAAAAAATGAGGCAAAGAATGGCATCTTTAAAAATATTATTTACTAGGGGAAATAATATGGAAAGGAATCCTAAGAATAGCAACAAGATTCAGTTTAGAGCTATAGAAAGAGGTAGGAGCAGTGGTAAGAATGAAGGCGACAACAGGCAGGGAAAACAGGGTATAAAATAAGCTGATTTTTGATGTTCTTCACTCCCATGTTCCAAGATAAGACTAGAGAAAACACAACTTTTTATGTAGAATGTGAGGGACAAGGCTGGATAGAAGCAAATGTAAGCACACATGTAAGCATCCTAACAGTATCAATGAAGCCTCAAGATAGTTCAGCTTAATACAAATCCTGACCACATGAGTAATCCCTGAGAGCAGATGGAGCCTGAGACAGAATGCTCCATACAGGCTGGGATTAATTCTAGTAGACTTTTTATTGTTTCTTGATATAGAAATGACTCTGGGAGCCTTCTGGACAAAAAAGTAAAATATTTTAGTAAAGATTGCAAATACTTGTTGGAACAAAAACTAATGATTTTCATTTTGCTCCTTCCTTGTTTCAGAGGAGAAATGACAAAATGTTGGGAAGTCATCTCATTCAGCTGAAATCAGGAACATTCCATCTCTTAATATAAGTATCATTTCTTTATCAAGCCAACAAAGTTCTAATCAGAGCTGGAACTGTCACTACAACAGAGATTTACAAGGACCTCATGAAGAAGAGTCATACATTCTAATTAGGGGAGACAACATAAAAGGGGTCAGTTCTAGGGCAAATGGCAAGGCCCAGACCAAGAATCCTTAGGGTGAAATGGAGCAGACAAACCGTAAAGAGAGAGAAAAGTCACTTGAAGTTTAATTTACTTTAATACCCTAAACCTTTATTAAACATTTACTGTGTGCAACGTGATGCAAATGTGATGGATTCTGAGAGAAGTCTCCTCCCATATTACCCTTTCACACCCCCAAGAGCAAACTAGGTGTATGAATGCCAAGCCTGGAACTCCAAAAAGGGCAGCAAGAGGACAGAAAGACCTCCTGGCCCATCCCTGTGCTTTCCCTACCCTCCTCCCACCTTCTATGAGTTTAAAAATGAAACAAAACAGGTACACACAGGCCTCACTCCAGATGCTTTCACAATGGCTGCTTCTGCCTCCTTGGTCACAGATTCTCTGTCAGAAGACTTTCCACTGGTGATGCTATCTAGTGAGTGGCAGGAAATGGCATTATACAGAGCTTCATAGGGACCTTCCTCTTGTGAGTTCATGTCAAAATCAATGATCAGCTCATTTACTGCTTTCTCCACATCACCTGATGAGGACAAGGAGAACAAAAAAAGGAAGGAAAAGGAAAACACAAAATTAAGAACTGCAATGCCTCCAAATGCAGAATTCTGATCCTGATGAAGCTTCATAATTTTCAGACCAGTGACTGACTAGTCTGGTCCTTAGACCTAAAAATAAAGTGTTTACTTTAAACTCACAGGGCACAAAATTCAGAGGTAGGACATCAGAAACACAACATATTCCAAACTACACATGACCAGAAACTGCCTCCACAAAGCTGCTGACAGATGGTTATTCTGCTTCTACTTGAAGCTGTACAGTGATAGCCAACTCAAGACTTTTCCCAGGTAACCCATTCCCCCTTTTGGGAGGGTCTAGTTATTCAGAAGTTCTTCCTTATATGCAGCTTCAATTCATTATTCTTCATTTTGCTTTCTGGGGCTAAGCAAATTAAACTAAATCCCTCTTCTACAGGAAGGTCCTTAAAATACCTAAAGATAATTACCATGTTTGCCATTAGGACTTCTCTTCTCTACTCGAAACACTCACAGTTTTTTTAAATGAGCTGAAAAGAGTCTTACTCAGTTCAATATACTAAGCTTCTGAATGAAAGTCCATGGAAATGATATAGTGGGGAGTCTCTTATACCTTTACTCATTTTTCTGCCATCAGAAATTATTTTTGTCTTTTAATTCTTCACTTTTCTCACCATGTGTTCCTATATCTAGATAACTCTTACTGCTGAACAGAAAAGTCGATTTGGTGTCAGAAGGCCTAAGTGTGAATCTTGCCTCTACTCAAATGTGTGAGCTCAGGCAAGTTATTTACTTTTTCTCTCCTCTCTCAGCTTTCTCTTTTGTAAAATCATTGGGATTGATTAGACTAGAAATTATAGGACCTTTCTTGTTCTGAAATTTTATAATCCTATAATTATATCACATCAGAAATCCAAATTAAAATATTTTAAAGTATAATTATATACATACTAAATAGTAACAGTCAATAAAAATGATATCTCAGCAGGGATATGAGGAAACAGGTATATTTATACAATCCTGGTGGCACTATAAATTTGCTTACTCTTTTTGGAGAGCAATATGCTGACTCATAGGGCAAGAACTTAAAAAATTTGTTCAAATCTTTTCACACAATTAAAGTCAGAGTGAGAAAATAATACTAAAGAAAAAAAGCAATTTGTACAAAGAAATTCAAAGCAGTGTTATTCTTACTAGTGAAAATATTAGAAATAATCCAAATACCTCAAAGTAGAGGAATCAGCTAAGGAAAATATGAATACAAAAGAATATTATATAACATGAAAAAAAATGTGTGGATCATATCAATAAATGGCAAGATATATATATATACATAGATATAGACATATCCAGGGGGTGGGGAATCCAAAGCCTTGAAGTCACACATGGCCTTCTAAGTCCTCAAGTGCAGCCGACTGAGTCCAATTTTTACAAATAAAATTCATTTATTAAGGGGATTTATTTTGCGAACATATGGCCTCGAGTTCCCCACTCCTGGACATATCTATCTATATATAAATGTTGGGGGAAAAACAAAGTAAATACTGAGTATAATTGTGCAAAAACACATAACTTATAAAAAAAAAGGTGAAGAAAATTTAGAGTAATTAAACAGTTAATATTCCTTATTTTCTTTGGAGAACATAAACCCTTAAGGATTTTCTGTATGTGAATATGTTTATATATTCATGTGAGCACAGACATTTATGTGTTTTCCTCTACTGACCTTTAATTGTGGCATGAAGAGGGCCATGGGTTCTTGATGCCTATTAGAGGAGTATAAGTTCTGGCAGGTCCTACAAGACCTATACCAAGCTAGAAAAGCCTTAAGTATAGAACCCAAAACTGGCCTAGCTAACTTCCTAGATGCTCATAGCCTGAGGGTAAGGCACAATTAGCTCTCCTCTGAATTTACCCTCTGCTGGAAGGTAAACCAAAAAACTCCTCCCAAAGCCTCCTTTTGTAGAGGGCTCAGAATTTTCAGGCCCTCTTCCCTACCCTCTTCCCCTACCCTACCCTCTAGCATCCCCTCCCTCTGCTTTTTAGATTCTTCTAGTGTCTTACCTACTTTCATTAGAAGGTAAGCTCTTTGACCGCAGGGACTGTCTTTCCTTTTCTTATTAGGATCCCCAGCATTTAACTCTGTGTAGCCACATAATAGGCATTTAATAAATGTTTACTGACTATTAATTGACCAGATAATGAATATTTTTGGACACAGAAACTAAAACAAAAAGAGCACCTAACAGGGAATGGAGGGGATGCAATTTGCATAAGCAGAGGGATCACAGGATCATAGATTAAAAAGGATTGTAGAAACATACTCTGACCCCGTCATTTAACAGATGAGGAACTGAGACCAAGAGAAGTTACATAACTTGCTGAAAGTCATACAAAGAGCCACCGAAACAGAATATGAAACTGAATCTAGTCTCTAAATCCAGCACTCTTTCTAATGAGCCAGATATTATCACAGATGTTTGAAGTACTGAACCACACACACACACACACACACACACACACACACACAGAGTCATCACTACTTGCGGTGAATGAAAGAGAAAAAAGAGAACTACACATCTGTTATTTTGCTTTATGACAAAATGTAAGCTCCCTGAGGTCAAAGACGATTTTGATCTCATCCTTGTATCTCCAATGCTTTGTATATAGTACACATTTAATAAATCTTCGTGGAATTGAGCTGTTTTCTCTGCCATGAAGAACAATCATTACACTAGGAATGATAGAACAAAAAAAGGTTAACAAGGAACTGAAACCCTAAATAAGTTAAATAGTATGAAAGCACCTAGCTAGCATAAATTAGTTCTAATATTAGATTCCTGGAGAAATTAAAACAGCAGGTTAAAAAGTACTCTGTTGGGGGCAGTTAGGTGGCACAGAGCACCAGCCCTGGAGTTAGGAGGATCTGAGTTCAAATCTGACCTTAGACACTTACTAATTGTGTGACCCTGGGCAAGTCACTTAACCCGAATTGCCTTTAAAAAAAAAGTACTTTATGGATTTGATTACTAAATCACATTGCCTGTGCCCTTTGAAATATAATAGAGTCCAAAAGGTATTAGAAGAGTATAGAAGGACAAAAATTTCAATTTTCAAAAAGGGAAACAAGATGTATACTTCAAACTACAGAAGGGTGAACCTGAATTCAATTCCTAGAAAAATTCTAGAACGCTTTATTGAAGGGATAGTTTGTGAGCACTTCATGAAGGAAAGCGGTGAAGTCAGAATCATTGAGAACAAATCACGGTAGACTAGACCCTTTCCTTTTTTGGACTACTTTACTATATTGCTGGATCAGCAGAATTTTGAACACTGTGTAATAGCCCTTGAATACAAAAGGGCATCTGACAAAGTTTTTATATCCTTTTAGGCAAGATAGAGATAGGTGAGCTAGACAACAATAGAGTTAGACAGATCTGAGACTGAGTGAATGACTGAATCAAAAGACAGGTGATAGATGAACGTACTCTTGCTAACCTAGAAGGGTGTCATTAGTGAAGTATCCTTTGTCTTTGGTTTTCTGTTCAACATAGGATCACAAATTTAGAGCTGGAAGGGACCTTAGAGGTAAACTGGTTTAAAAAAAAAAAGCACCCTTCATTTTATAGATCAGGACATCAAGATTCAGAAAAGTTATGAGACTTGCCCATCAAGATAAGTGACAGAACCAGGATTTGAACCCAAGTCCTCTGATTCCAAGTCTACCACTCTTTCCAATATATACTACCTTAATTTATTAATGACTTGAAAGGGCAGGTGATATTTATCAAATTTATGAATTTACAAAGCTAGACAGGATCAATATCATGCTGGACAACAGAACTGGGATACAAAAAAACCAAAAAGATTAAACAAAACAAAAAATATAGTAAGATGAACTGTAATAGGGACGCATATAAAGTATTACATTTGAGTTAAATGCTTGTCTTTTCATTTTGCCAGAGCTCTGTCTTTGTTTTAGGTGACATACCTATAAGTCAAGTGGCTTAGTAATTATTCAGTTATCTTCATAGATTTATAATTGCCATAGCCACTAGGTAGTTCAATTTGAACTTAACCAGGGACTCACAACATTCTCTCTTAACATAATAGTTCAGAGTGCCCTAAGCAAATACAATCACAAGCTTGAGACTCTAAAACAATTAACAATTAACAGTTGATAGAATGGCCTAGTAATGAAGGATACGCATTATCTTTTTCTGAAAATCTACCTATCTGAATTCTGGTTAGCAGGGAAATGGCCTAAATAACTTAACCTTCTAGTTAGTGGCAGATAACAGCAAGGATTAGGTAACTTTTCAAAACTAATTTTCATCAAGTACAATCCAGCCTCAACCACCTGGCTTTTGTTATACTGTCTTATTTCTATCCCTTCCTTCCCCATCAACTTCCCCCTACCCCCACCCTGCGCTTGACAGAACACACTCCCATCCTAGACTACATGGCAGCAGGTAGGTCACATATTAATTCTGAGAAACAAAGCAGGCAAAAGAGAGAGTGCCTGAAGCACACAGACAATAAACCTGCTCAATATTATAAATATTGGAAATAAATATGCTCAATATAAGTTTAGATATGCCATGCATCAAGAAATGTACCCTTAAACTACATGCAAGCATAATTAATAGTTAATTAATAGGATGAATATTGGTCTTGCAGCATCACACCAAAAAGCTATACTTACTGTATAGACCTGGGGACTCCAAAGCAGAGAAGGGGAAATTTTACATTTGGTCCACCCCAGGCCCTAACTGGAGGACAGAGCCATGCTCACCTTGAGACTTCAGGGATGTTGAGTCCACATTAGGGACAAACGGTGACTGGGTTCTGATAGATTTGTCTCCTTTTGTACTTCTTTTCCCAGTCATGTGTTCTACAAAGACAGAGAAAACAGCTGAAGCAAAGAAGTTTCCGGGTTTACCACTCAGTCCTATCCCCAACAGCCTCACTGGGAGGGTTTCTTTCTCCTCCCGCCCATGAACTGACCTTCAATAAATGCTGCTATCTGCTGACTCTTCTGGGAAGGAAGCTCTCGAACAGTGTCTAGTGCAGTTAGCCCCCGGTTATCTTTTATGTTCACATCAATTCCTAGAGATATACACAGGAAGGAGCAGGAGAATGAGAATTTTCAAGACAGCTTCCAATAACAGCCAGACTCGAGTTCACTTACATCAACCTTCCAGCAGAAATAATGGTTATCCTCTAAAGTCATTTAATCCAGCTATCCAAAAACAGGTCTTACACTTACACAGTCAAACAAATGCAGACACACATGAACTGGGTTCAACTGCAGCCAGTGGAAATCAACCCCCTCCTGAGACGCTGTTCAGTCCCGACCCTGACATGCCGTACACAAGAGCACTGCCGACCTCTCACCTGCAGCCAGCAGGATTTGAACCACATCTGTCTTGCCAAACAAAGCAGCCTCATGCAAAGCACTGCCCTTCTCCGTCTGTAAAGCAAACAAGAACTCAGTGCAAGACATAGTCAGAAATTATGATCCCAGAGATTAGCATGGGTTTACATGACAAACAGAAATTCCAAATTATTAAAGCCAACAGAGGGGACACAAAGGAAAATACACCACAGACACACACACACACACACACATACACACACTCTCTCTCTCTCTCTCTCTCTCTCTCTCTCTCTCTCACTCACTCACTCCTCTTCATAATCTTCTCTTTTAGTTTTCTCTGTCTGTTTTACAATATTTATACATGGCTCCTATCTTTGGCATGTGAGATAATACAGCAGTGGGCCACATGTGACCCACCCGCTCCACTTGCTGTCTAGCTACACACATCTATAAAGCCCACAGTACAAGGATCATAAGGGAGAAAAGTGCTGGAGGAAGACTGAGTGCAGAGGACTGAATTCACCTCCACTTTAGCAGTAACTTGATCCATGTAAAGATTATGACACTGGGCATTATTCTGAAAGATGAGTACATATAAATAAATTTGGATTTTCATTCCATACCTTTATGTAGGAAAGCTCTGAGGACACTTTACTATGTCACATAGTAACAACATGAATTTACCAAGAATTATGGGCTCTGAAGTAGTAAAAAGAGGAATCCCAACATTCAGAAAGCAAAAAAAAAAAGGGGGGGGATTGGTTCAAATGGAAGAGCAAATTATGTTCAAATCTAGAGACAAGTTTTCAGGAATTGTCCACTGAAAAGAACCTAACCCAAACAAGCTGAAAGGAGGGATATATCTCTTATTAGCAAATAGTTCCACATTTTAATTTTAAAATGAGTGAAAGCATTTTTCTAAATGTATCCAATGATAACAGCCCATAAGCATAAGCCTTTACTGTAGAAGCCAAGACCCTTAAAATTTGAAGATTATCGTGGCTACCTGGTAGTTGCTATCCATCCCAGCATCCAGAAGGACACGGACCACAGCTTTGTGACCATTTCGTGCAGCCAAGTGCAGAGGAGTATGTTTCTTAGTGTTGCAGCTTAAGAGGTTGGGGTGAGCATTGAGCAGCATCTTCACCACCTCCAGCCTCCCATAGAGTGCAGCCAGGTCCAGTGGTGTCTCAAACTTGTTATTGCGCATGGTGGGATCAGTTAGTTCCTCCAAGAGGACCTTCACCACCCAGTATGGCCATATTGAGCTGCACAGTGAAGGGCCGTCTCATTGTCATTGTTCTAGAGAGTTAAAAAAGGAGACCGGCATAATCAGGTAGGCTTAATGACATGGACAAAAGGGCATCAGATGGAAATAGCACTAGTAAAACTATTGAAGTTTAAATGAAGAAAATGGCAGAAATATTTCTGTAACACATTAATTTGAAAATATTTAGTAAGTGATTGATCCTCACTGCACCTCTTCTGAAGTGATTAATTCGTAATTTAGGTAAGTGTCACTGATTAGAGTGGTCAATATGGCTTGGCTTGGAGGCATGTACCAGTTCTAATGACCCACAAATGTCAGTTCCTAATGAACTCGTCAAGCCACACTGACCACTCCAATTGGTGACATTCTTACCTAAATTATGAATTCCCTACTGCAAAAGAAGAGCAGTCATCTACTAAGTATTTTCAAATGGATGTGACTGACCATGTCTCTCCCATATTTTGTGCAGAATGAAAAAGATAGCATATGCATAGAAGAGATTCTATAGAAGTCTGGTACAGATCAAGTACAACAACATCACAACCATCAGTTTAATTTAAACTTCAATCAGTTTTACAATACAGTACTTATCTAACTACATTATTTTGATGCTCAATTTGTCAGCCATCCCATTTGTCTTAATCTCCAGCATTTACAGAAATGCTATGCATTTTCATATGGCTTCTAGCATGCAAACCAATCATGAATGCTAAGGATGGAAACCACCCAGAAGAACAGTGCTAATCATTCTACACATCAGCCAACAGCCAGAGGAGGAGGTAGGGGGGACGCACGGAGGGAGACGACGCCCAGGACAGGGGATGATGACAGGAAATGATGCTAAATGCAAAAGGAACTCAGAGATCCCTGACTACTGCACTGCTTCTACTGGAAATGCCTGAACCAATTAATACATGCAATATCTATCATAAAATAGCAGTGCAAGGAACAATTTTACATAGAAGATAAAATCAGACTTTTCAAAGTTGTTTGCAAGGTGCAAAATATACCAACATAATGTTTATATTAATTCAAATTCAGACCTGCCCCTCAACCCCAATTTCACTTTTATCTAAAGAGCATAATCAGAAAAGGAAAAAGGAAGAAGTTTCAGAAGCATTTATTAGGCTAACATATCCAAAAAACATCAGTTGTTCCAACTGTGTTGCAACTTTTCTATTTTCTTCCAATAAAAAATATATATACATATACTGCATAACTGTATGACATGGAAAAAAAGGAATTTCCATGTGACTTCTTAGGAACATTTAGCAAAGCATTTATTGTGGTGATTTAGGAAGAATTTTTAAAATTCATCTACCAGCTTTGCAACTTTGAGAGACAGACAGTGCTTCAGAAAGGGGGGCATGGCTAAAAAAATCATTATTTTGCACCTTTCAAACTGTAAAAATAAAAACCTCTACAATTGCTTTAATTCTATTAATAATGTTAAAACATATTCTAAGGGTTACCCAATACCATGCATGCAACTCCATCTGCTTTTGATATGGCATTTGACTGCATCATTTTTTCCAGCTGCATTGTCACCCAGAAAGATCTGGAGCTGCTAGGAACAGGACCTCTATGACTAGAGTTTACCAATAAACTACAATGAAGAAAATCAGGACAGAAGAAGCAATAAAAGCAGCCACAAGCAGAAGTAAATGCACACAGATAAATATAGGGTGCAGAGAAAACAAAACATTAAGCTCAAACAAGGCTCAAGTGAAGTAGCTGCTGGGGTGTACTTCAATCATCATCACCAGCCTCTGTCAATGACCAACAGAGTCTGCCCCTTAGTGCACTGAGTGCCTCTAAACTCAAAGAAGCACATAAAGAGAGAGACAGACAGACAGAGAGAGAGAGAAAGAAAGAGAGAGAGAGAGAGAGAGAGAGAGAGAGAGAGAGAGAGAGAGAGAGAGAGAGAGAGAGAGTGTGAGAGAGTGTATGTGTGTGTATGTGTGTCTGTCTGTCTGTATGCCTGCCAATGGCAGCACACCTGCCTGAAGGGAGAGCATCTTTGGGGCCACCTGGCTTCTTTCTGCTCAGCCATACTGTGCCACTCACAATCAGCCTCATGGAGGGACCTAGTCTTTTTGAAACCTGGCCAAGCTTCTTTATATCCACTACATGACCCATTACCTTGCCTGGCAGCTTGTGCCTCCAGTCATAGATAGCAATCTTGGCTTCATGACTTTGTAATGAGGTCTATTTTCTGGTTTAGCCTTCTCCAAACTGGCAAATAGAAAGTCCCTTTTTACAATGAGAAAGCAAAGCCTACGTGTAACTTGTGTCACGTGATTCCTCTTTCATCAAAATAAAATAAATACAAACCCTACACAGTTTGAGTAGGGAAACTTTCATCCAGGAAAGTCCATCTACTCTAGAGGAAACAGGGTTCTGTTACTTACTGTATTAATTTTTCTTTGTTTAAGCACAAGTCAGTTGCCAATCAATTCAAAGCAAGTAGACTATAAAAACATACAGCAAAGAAAACCAAAAGCTCTCCTGTGGATTTCTTTTGCAGATGAAATGATGCTACCTGTTTCTTAACCCTCAGCACTCACCCAACTTGCCTCAAGGCTGCCACACTAGAACCAAGTTTCATTTACCATTAGTAGAAAGCAATTTACATTCTCTCTCTCAACACTGGTCACTGGGACAAACACCAATAGCTCTCTTGTTCTCAAAGACAGAAAGTAATATTCTCATGCTCCAGGAAAAAGGAGATACCTGATGCCTGTGGTCAAACATTCACCTTCTCCCTCTCCTTCTCTCTCTCATACAGATATTTGAATCTGAATGTCCTTGTTATTAACACTATTTCTCCTTTGGAGTAAAAGAGTTAGCAAACCATTAAGTCAGTCAAACATCAAGAACCCAATGAGAACCATTAAAAAATATAGGGATGTAAAGGGTATGACAGTTTTCTAAAACTAAGCACGCCCTGAAACCTCTAGAAGTCACATCCTAAGTACTAACTTCAAACCCTAAAGCATTCCAAGAATCAGTGAATCAAAAACTGGAAACAGAAGTGGTAACATGGGAACATGAACACCATACTTCTAAACACCATAATTTCTAAATTCTCCTTCACAAATTTCCCATTCCTACCCATCTGCCATTTGGAAGACCACCTGTCTATTTGCCTAACTGTAATTTAGTATTTGGAAGAATTAGAGAGAGGATGAACTATATATATGCATAGTATATAAAGCCATGCATCTTGGCATCTGGTGACCCCTTCCCCTTAAAGTATAAATTCCAAACATGACATCCTCAAATTTAAAACAAAAAACTACAGAGTAGTTAAAACTACTTATCTGTGGTCATTGGTCAAGAGAGGAGATATAACATACAAATACAAATTACTAGCAGCTAAGAACTATGTGGGGGCATTATCATAGTAGCCATCAATAGAAGAACATACATAACAGAGTCTCCTCTCTTCCAAACACCTAAAGTATGATTCAGCTTGTAAACTAGTGTCTTTGTGTCACACTTAGGCAAACCTTTCTGCAGGATATTGAGGGGCAATTTGTCGCTGAAGGAGTAGTGGAAATAACTAGGGATGTTTATCACAAAGAAAAGAGGTTTACCATGAAGAAGAAGACTCAGAGGCTATGTAACAACTGTTCTCCAATGTCTGGAGGGCTGTCATTCGGAGAAAGAAGATGACTTTTACATGCTGCTCTACCGAACACAATTAGGACTTATAGATTACTAGAACGCATATTTCAGTTCAACATAATGAAGAACTTTCAAACAAATAAAACTAAACAAAAATGGAAAAGGCTGCCTCTTGAAGTGGTAAATTTCTCACCAATAAAAGTATCCCAAAGTAAATCAAATGATTACCTATAATCAACGGTGCAAGATTCTTGAAGCAGGTGGGAGGATGAAATAACTTCAAAAATACTTCCCAACCTTTTTTTTTCCTTTTTTTTAATATAAATTTATTTTTATTTTTCAATATTCACTTCCACAAGATTTTGAGTTCCAAATTTTCACCCCTTCTCACCCCTCCCCCCACCCCAAGATGGCATGCATTCTGAATATCCCTTCCCCTAGTCTGCCCTCCCTTCTATCTCTCCCCCCTTCTCCTATCCCCTTCCCCTTCTATTTTCCTGTAGAGCAGGATAGACTTCTGTACCCCATTTCCTATATTTCTTATTTCCCAGTTGCATGTGAAAACTTTTTTTTTAAAACATATGTTTTTAAAACTTTGGGTTTCAAATTTTCTCCCTTCCTCCTTCCCCACCCACCCTCATTGAAAAGGCAAGCAACTCAATACAGGTTATACATGTGCAGTTATATACAACACTTCCATAGCAGACATGTGAAAAACTAACTCTATTTCCCTTAATCCTATCCTGCCCTCCCATTTATTCTATTCTTTCTTTTGACCCTGTCCCTCCTCAGAAGTGTTTGCTTCTGATTACCCCCTTTCCCAATCTGACCTCCTATCATCCCCCTGCTCTCTTGTCCCCTTCTTCCCCTACTTTCCTGTAGGGTAAGACAGATTTCCATACCCAGTTGAATGTGTATGTTATTCCCTCCGTAAGCCAAATCCTATGAGAACAAGATTCACTCATTCCCTCTCACCTCCCCCGTTTCCCCTCCACTGTAAGAGACTTTTCTTTTCTGGTTTTTTTTTGTGAGATAATTTACCCCATTCTACCTCTCCCTTTCTTCTTCTCCAAGTATAATCCTCTCTCACCCCTTAATTTTATTCTCCAGAAATGACCCCTTAATCTTCAACTCACCCTGTGCCCTCTGTCTATCTATACATACATACATACATACATACATACATACATATAATTTTTTCCCTCCAACTACCCTAATACTGACAAAGGTCTCATGCGTTATAAATATCATCTTTCCATGCAGAAATGTAAACAGTTCAACCTTAATAAGTCTCTTATGATTTCTCTTTCTTGTTTACCTCTTCATGTTCCACCTGAGTCCTGTATTTGAAAGTCAAATTTTGTATTCAGCTCTGGTCTTTTCATCAGGAATGCTTGAAAGT